GCAAAACGGCGGGCCACTCGATCGGCGGCGACGGCTGCGCCACCGCCGGACAGAGGCCAGCGCCCAGAGGAAGGAGTGCGCCGAAGCGAAGGCCTCGGCGCAAGGCCAAGAAGGCCGGAGCGGAGCGGATGGACACCAGCACATAAATGGCCACCATCCGCTTCCTCCAATGTAACATCAACCACTGCGCCCGGGCGCAGGACCTGCTGGCCCAAACCATGGCGCAGTGGTTGATAAACGTAGTGGTGGTTGCCGACCCGTACGTCATCCCTGCCCGGGATGACTGGGCGGGTGATGTCGGCAACCTAGTGGCCATATCTGCTCCGGCCCGCGATGGCTCCCCCCCTCTCCGAAAGGTGGCGAGAGGCACGGGAAGCGTGCTCGTGGTCGTCGGGGGAGTGGCCATTGTGGGGGTGTATTTCCCCCCCAGTTGGCCCCTCGCCGACTTCGAGCGCGCCCTAGCAGAGGTGCAGGCGCTCACGGCGCGGGTCTCCCACCTCCCCCTCATCGTCGCGGGGGATTTCAACGCCAAATCAACGGCTTGGGGATCTCCCGCGACGAGCCCGAGGGGGGAAGAGTTGGAGGACTGGGCGGCCGCGTCGGGGTTAATGCTCCTCAACCGAGGACGGGACCTCACGTGCGTGCGCCAACAGGGGGGGTCCATCGTGGACCTCTCCTTTGTATCCCCGGCCTTGGTGCCTAATATCTGTGGGTGGAGGGTCGAGGTGGATGTGGAGACGTTGTCGGATCATCGTTACATTCGATTCGACCTCTCCACGTCCGCCTCGGCCACGACGAACGCGCCACGCACCACGGCCGGGGACGGCCCGCGCTGGGTGCTGGGGCGCCTGGACAGGGAGCTGGCGAAGGAGGCGGCTATAGTCGCAAGCTGGGCAGCTCACTCTGATCCCGTAGACTCCGCCGAGGACGTGAACGTGGAAGCGGACCGGCTGGGCGAGTTGCTGGCCAACGTCTGTGACTCGTCCATGCCGAGGGCCCGCCCGTTCCGTCCGCGTCGGCGGGTGTACTGGTGGCGCCCCGAGCTGCGCGAGCTGCGGCGAGCGTGTGTGGCGTCGCGCCGCCGGTACACTCGCTGCCGAAGGCGTCGAGTCCGGGATCAGAGGCAGGAGGAGGAGCTGTACCAGGCGTATAGAGCCGACTGCCACGCCCTCCAGGTGGCCATCGCGAAGGCCAAGCAGGGAGCGTGGGAGGAATGGCTCCAAACGCTGGAGGAGGACCCGTGGGGCAGACCGTACCGGGCGGTGCGGAAGAAGCTCCGACCATGGGCCCCGCCTTTAACTACAACAATGGAGCCACAGTTGGCGGAGGAGGTGGTCGGGGCCCTCTTCCCGCACCGGGTAGGGTCTGCCCTGTCGGCGGCGGAGGAAGGAGAGGCGGTCAATGACGAGGTGGAGCC